ACACACACACACACACACACACACACACACACACACACACACACACATGTATTAAACAGGTATGTTGTGAGAAGTACCGTTGATCATTTATGAAATTGATTAATCGGTCTTTACGCGTAAGAAAAGGAACTACGATGAAACGTTAACTGTTTATAATGATGAAAAAAATTTTAATTGAAAAAAAAAACAAGAAAGAAAGAGAGAGAGAGATAGAAAATCATGATGATTCTCTGATTCTTGGTATATCGAGGTTATTAAAAAAAAAAAAGTGTGTGTTGTAATTTTGCTGCTGCAATAGCCCACCCACCATAGTGTTCAACCTAGCTACGAAATAATCGAGATAGAAAAATAATGAAATCAACAAATGAGAAAAGATTATCGATGATGATTCGTATTGCAAAAGAAGTAAAAGGTAGTTATAAATCGGTGTATGTTATGTATGTATAAGTATATGTATGTGTGTGTTGGGTGGTAAGAAAGTATCGGTGAACATAAACGGCGACCTCTTTATCTAACTTATTCCACCTCCTCCTCCTCTTCCTTCTTCTATTACGTTCGTCATTGGTTCGTAATACGATGACATAATCATTCCGGAAATTATTTTATCTTCGTCCATTGAACGTATTTCTCGCTTACGTAAAAATATTGTTAATAATAATGTCATAATTCTTTAGAGTACACCTAATTTTGTATTCTGATCATGCGTGGTTTTGTTACGTTTGCAAATAAATATGTGGGTGGAGGAAAATAGGTTTAAATTATTTAACATGAGCACGTATAATTTAATGATAGGAATTTAAAAAATTATTTTGATATTATTATATTATTTAATTTTATATTAATATATAATATAAATAATAATATATTAATTATATATATTAATTATATAATTATATATTAATATATATATTATAATAATTATTATATTATAATATAATAATAATTAATAATAATATATAATATAAATTATATAATAATATTAAATATAATAATAATAATAATTTGTTGCGTGGTTTTGCAACGTTACAAATAAAACTAAAGGATGGGAGGGAAATGTTTGGGTAACAATTAGCACGTGTAATTTAATGATAAGAATTTAATAAAATTATTTTAATAAATAATAAAATTATTATATTATTAATTTATAAATAATAAATATAAAATATAAATAATAATAATAATTTATTGTAAAATATTTGTAGGTCGCAGGAACGACGTCGTATTCGGTGGATTTGGAAATTAGACGTTTAAGTGTCATATGCTAGAAAAGATTATCATGTACCGACCAAATTTTTACGAGAGTACGTGCCTGAGATGCGCCCAGACGGTTTATCAAGTCGACAGGGTCGGCCCTTTGAAAGATTTCACGTTCTTCCATTCTGGTTGTTTCAAGTGTGCGATCTGTGGTACTAAGTTAACCCTGAAGACTTATTATAACAATCAGCACACGATAAACGACAAGGAGGTTTATTGTAGCAGTCACGTGCCAAAACCAGGACCAGGTACATTGGATGGTTCAAGTGTTGGTATAAGAAGTGCTTTGAACGTACCGAGAAGTGGTTACGTCAACGAACAAATCAGGGCTGGTGGTGCGTCACCGCGTGCTGCTTATCCACCTTGGTAAGCTTGTTTCTTTTTTAATTAACATTTTTATTATTTAATATATACAGTAAACAAAATCTATAGGATTTATTCGTTCTAAATATGAAACAAGTTGCGTCAATAAGTATCACAATTGTTCGTTTAAAAAAAAGTTATTAGCTTCATTTATTAACCCTTTTAGTTAATTACATCCTTTTAAACGAATACATTGTCTCATAGATATTCTCTTCGTATTATATATATATA